GCTGTATATATCGAAAGAATCGCCCATGATCGAGAATATGGGCAATGACCAACGCACGATATCGCGCCACTTGCGAGCTGACAATTGAATCTTCGGAGGCGAGTAGCAGAGATAATCCGCCGTACTGCTGTTATCGTAGAAATCGATCAGCATCGTAGTCCATTCACTGATCGCTGCTCTCATCAATGCCAAGGCGATAAATTTTTTCGTAGGGTTCGTTCGTGAAACGACGAATAGTTTCTCATTCTTCTCCTCTTCTGCGCTTTCTTCCGTCAAATTATGCGCAATCGGTACAACGAAATGTAATCGTTGATAGGACGGCCAACGGTATCGCCGCACTTGTTTATCCTCGTTGCAATACTCGAAACGACTGCCAGACAATTCACCGACGATCGATTCGATGATCTCGTCCGGTCGATCGAACCAGTCTTCGCGGGCGTCCCCAACCATTGCTCGGTGTACGCAATTGCGCACATTCGGCAATAACTCGCGAATTATGCGCACTCGCGTGCAAAACGGACACTTGATCGTGTCCTCCAGCGGACACGATGAGACAGACTCGTCAGCCAATCGACGTCTTTTTGCCAGGAGAATGTCGTAATCGGACATTGCGTGTACTTTCGTTACGTGTGTTGCTTGAGACTTGCTATCGATCAATGAGCAGCCAGAGAGCTCGAAGTCGTCTATATAGCGTCACTGTTATCGTTCGAGCGATAACGGCGCGACGATCCTCTCGAGTGGTGCGATAATGACGTGACGCTCTCGAGCGATGATTACGCAACGTTCATCTCGAGTGGTGCGATAACGACGCGACGCTCTCGAGCGATGATTACGCAACGCTAATCTCGAGTGGTGCGAACACGACGCGACGCTCTCGAGCAATGACTACGCAACGCTCATCTCGAGTGGTGCGATAACGACGTGACGTTGTAACGGTCGCGCCTCTAGGCGCGGTTTTTCCGGGTTGATTCGGCCCTGTGGATTGGATCGTTGGTTGCGAGCCGACCACAGGAAAGATTTTTAGGTGAAGGTGTGTGTGCGTGTGTGCGTGTCAATAAGAGAAGACAAAATAAGTATAACACAATACGTCTTTATTTGCCCGTCACGACCGCGTGCCGTGACGCGACGTCCCAATGTTTGGGTGTTTGGTGATCGCGCGAATTGTTTCCGCGGACGCTACGAGCCCCGTGGAGTCACAGTGGTAGTTGAGCGACTTGCTTGAGACTTATGCAATTATCTCGGACGACGCTTTATTCGTACAGACGATGAGGGTCGAGCCACCGATTACTGATCGAGCGGGGTGCGCCCCGAGCATATAAGATGCGCGGCGGGTGTTTTCGCCGTGAGTTAAAGCGCGAGTTTGGGTGATTCGGCACGCGATGACGATTGGTCGCAAAAACCGGTACAAGAACACGTCGCGACACGTCGCGCTCGTTTTTGTCCTCGGCCGCAGTGTCGACCGCCCTGGTGGTAGAGGGTTGCGGGCGACGAGAGTATTCCTTGCGTGCTGGGTTGATGTGCTATATCCTAGCTGATCAGCTCTTGCCTTCCCGGGGTCCTATTTGATGAAATTAAGAAAGAAATAACGTGAGATCGTTCCGGAGAACGCACCGGAGTGACGGCAAACTCGCCGCGCGATCACATTATCGCAAAGAAACGGCACAGAATAAGATCGTTCCGGTGAACACACCGGAGCGACGGCAAACTCGCCGTCCGATCCTTTATATTGCAAAGACGGCACAAAACAAGATCGGTCCGGTGAACACACCGGAGCGACGGCAAACTCGCCGTCCGATCCTTTATATCGCAAAGACAGCACAAAATAAGACCGTTCCGGTGAACACACCGGAGCGACGGCAAACTCGCCGTCCGATCCTTTATATCGCAAAGACGGCACAAAATAAGACCGTTCCGGTGAACTCACCGGAGCGACGGCAAACTCGCCATCCGATCCTTTATATTGCAAAGACGGCACAAAATAAGATTGTTCCGGTGAATACACCGGAGCGACGGCAAACACGCCGTCCGATCCTTTATATCGCAAAGACGGCACAAAGTAACATCGATCCGGTGAACACACCGGAGCGACGGCAAACTCGCCGTCCGATCCTTTATATCGCAAAGAACAGGTATTAGTAATCACCGTCGTGGACGGCCTGGTAACTAACTTACGAATTCAGCAGGAGCTTCTCGGTTGATCCTCTCTCGGAAAGAACTATCTGCGGAGACGGAACTCTGGAGACTTCCCTTTCGTCAAAATCTGCCGGGATTATATACCCGAGATTTTGGGGCTTCGGTTTTCTTCGCCCTTAATCGGAGTTAATTCCGCTTTTTAATCGGAATTAATCGTGATTATGCGGCGTCTGCCGAAGATAACTTCGGCGGCGCCGCTAGCTCGGTTCGGCGGCCGACCGTGCCCGAGCGTCGTTGTCTGGTGGTCGGGCATGTTCGGCTGAGCGCGACGTCTAGGCGCGATGTCAGCGCGGGGGGGGTGTGCGCTCAGCTGACTGCCGCCTGCTGTTAGGCGGCAGTCAGCGTAACGGCGTAAAGATTTTTGCGTCGTTACAACGCGCTGTAAAAACATTGAACATCGGGTGCTCCGATCCTATAGTTCCTTTGAAACAAAGTAAAAATCGTACATTTTGATTCACGTCGAACGTCGAGCCATTAGACTCGACAAGTTACATCATCGCATTACGTTCGAGTTTCAAACGTGCAAGCGTCGAACGAATCGCACAAGATGCGATCGCACCGCAAAATCGAAAGCTTCGGAGCCACGGCACGATCGCCCGATTCGAACAATCGTACAGTAGTAACATTCCCCCCGTTCGTAGTACGGAGCAGTAGCGTTCCTGGTCCTATTGTACCTCTGACTGCTCCGTACTACGTACTACTGTACAATAGTACCGGCCGCGCGATGGAACGCCTCGTTACATACATTTTACCCCTTCCACATTGCACCTTTTGCACAATAGTGGGAGTGTACTAAACTTTATTTTATTGGTCAATTAATGTTCCCACTATTGTACACAAGGGTGCAATGTGGAAGGAGTAAAATGTATATAACGTGGTGTTCCGTCGCGCAGCCGGTACTATTGTACAGTACGTAGTACGGAGCAGTCAGAGGTACAATAGGACCAGGAACGCTACTGCTCTGTACTACGTACGGGGGGAATGTTACTACTGTACAATTGCTCGAATCGCGCGATTGTCGCGAGCATCGTGCGAACGTGCGTTCACTCGATGCTCGAACGAGTGCTCGATGCGCGTTTCGAGCGTGTTCGGTCGAGGCGGTCGGTACAACATTATGGTAATTTTTTGAGAAAAAACAGAACGAATGAAAAAAATAAAATATCCATTTTTTCAGCAATCAAATAGCATCACTTGTGGCAATCGAGAGCGCTATTACGCTTCAATTTGCTCGGAATAGCACAGTAAGCGCAGATTCTGTTTCAGATTCCTCCCCGTGGGTGCCACCTTGACGTGGTGGGGAGGCTTGAAGGTCCCGATGATCTACAGAGCTGTACCGGCGGGGGTTTCGGCCCCTGGCAGGTTCTATCATGCCGGAGTGGTCTGTACGGAGGGACTGGATCAAGAGCACCCGACCGGGTTGAGTGACCAGCCTGGTCCATGACCAGCATGGTCACAGAGCGGGTGGGAGGAGATCATCATCCTGCCTGAAGGCATTGCACGCCGGTGCTCCTGCAGCCGACAGGGATGACCTCCTCCACACTCGCTCCAGGAAGGGGACCTCTCTCTCCGAGGCATTGCACGCCAGTGTTCCGGCAGCCGAAGAGAGAGAACCCTTTCCTCCCGCCTCGGTTGGACCGTTACGGTTAGACCGGGGCGGAGGGACGTACCCGCATCCAGGGCTCCACCCCATGGGGATCCTCCTCCCCCGTGGTGCCTGAGATGCGGAGGGGTACTCCGGGCCGCTCGGACGTTTCCGAGGTCGGGGTCGGGGTGCCCTATCGCGTCCTGAGAGATCCCACCCTCCGAGGCATTGCACGCCGGTGCTCCGGCAGCCGAAGAGGGGAGGACCTCTCTCCCTCGCTCGTCCCAGCCACGGCTGGGCGAATGAAGGATCCCACACCCGGGTCTGCACACCGTGGGACTATTCCCACGGTACCTGGGGGGTGGAGGGGTTTCCCGGGCCGCTCGGACTTATTCCGAGGTCGGGTTCGGGGCACCCTAGGGTGACGAGGGGAGAAGACCCCACCTCCGTCTCGAAGGTGGACTCCCCGACTTCCCTCACCCGTTCGGCCCGGGTCGAACGGACAGAGGAACCCACACCCGGGTCTGCACACCACGGGACTTTCCCCATGGACCCGGAGGGAGGAAGGGTGTCTCGGGCCGCTCGGACGTATTCCGATGTCGGGGTCGAGACACCCTCATGCGCCAACCAGAGGACTCATTCCCGGAGGCATTGCACGCCGGTGCTCCGGCAGCCAAAGGGAACGATCCTCTCCCTCATCCGTCCTGGCCACGGCCAGGCGGAGAGAGGTACCCACACCCGGGTCTGCACACCGTGAGGGTTTGGAACCCCTCATGGTACCCGGGGGGTGGAGGGGTGCTCCGGGCCGCTCGGACGTATTCCGAGGCGGGGCCGGAGCCCCTGTGTGCTGTGCCCGAGGGAATGCGATCGCATCACCCTAAAGCGGACCCTCGGGCGGCGCGAACACGCTGGCTGCCATGGGGGAGGCGCTTCCGGTGGGGTGCGACACCGGTGAGCTACCTCCTTCCATGGGCCCCCCCGCGTGGCGGCGCTCTGCACGGTGCCCACATTGTCGGAGGTGTGGGACCCCCGAAAGCGGTCTGGCCACCAGAAATGGTGGTCAGGGCGCGTGTAGGGGGCGGGAGGCCAGTGCCGGCGATGTAATATTCCGTCGGCCCGTGCCATATGGTGCTCCTCCGGGGGAACTCGGAGGCTCCCCCTTTCCGGGGGGATGCGGGCATGCCCGGGCACCAGAGCCGTGCAGAGTGGTGGGTTAGTAACCACAATGACAGATTATAATTCAACTTCCTCTAGCGAATCATCGGACATGGACATGAATAAGACGATCCAGGCTAGGCTAAAGGACACGAGATACCGAACTGGCAGAAGCCAGACAACGGCAAGGAGGGAGGGGCTACGTAGCGGAAAGTCCCAGGAAGCGAAGAAGGCTGAAGAGATCGAGGACAGCGACCGATCTCGATCGCCTCTTAGGGTCGATGATTCGACGGCATTCGCCACCTCCAAAGAGGAGGACTCGGACGATGGCGAGAAAATTGCCCAAAAGAAAAAGGAAGGGAAGTGGGAAATCCCCAGAGACGAGGATGGCAATACGGACGAGGAGCGTCTCGTAGAGAAGGCCACTAGAGGCAGGGGCAGGCCAGAAACGACAGGGGGATACCGACTCAAAAAAGAGTTCATGGCGAGAAAGCAGGCCATTATGGAACAAAAAAGGGAAGAATTCCTGCTGAAAGGCATGGAAAACCCTCTCGAAGAGTTCCAGGACTGCACTTCCAACCGGAAGTACAAGGCAGAACTGAAGAAACTTACGGAACACCTAGAGGAGGCCCCCTTCCGAAACATTGCGGGAACGATATTAGAGGCATCGACGAAGGTCCTAGGATTTTCGCAAAAATCTAAAAGCCTCAAGGGCACACACGTGAAGGTCCTCAGGGATGCCGCAGCGGCCATAACAGCGGGCACCAATATAATGGCCATGCAAATGGCGCAGGAGATGCGGGAACAACCTGGACCTCATAGAGGAACTACGGGCGAAGAACACGAACTTAAAAACGTCGCTGAAGGAGGTGAGGAAGGAGCTGGAGGAAGTAAAGGAGATGCTCCGTGGTATAAGGGAGGCGCCGCTTCATGTAGCGGTATCCTCCCCGCCCTCGAAGCACTCAGGAAACGCGGGCCAGAGTGTAAAAGAAGCACCACATCGTGTGCCGAGTGCTCCCTCGCCCCTGATCCGCGTAGAGAGGGAATGGGCAATAACTCCACCCATGGTGGACATGATGGAGGAGGAGGAGGCACCGATAGGAATTATAGAGGTGCAAAAGGGGTTGATCCCAGGGGAGAGGAGACGCCCGGTGAGGGAGAGGAATGAAGCCAGGGTCGCAAAAACAGGCCCCAAGATCAGGGAGAACATCCTCCTGGACAACAAGGTTAGGGTAGAAAGGAGGGAGGATTCAGAGAAGAACGCAGGGAAAGGACTGGAGGGAGACATAACAAAGATGGTGTTTAAAGCTTTAAATGACTGGACAACACAAGGAAGGGAGATTCCCAAAAAAGGGGCCGGGAAAGATAACAAGGTAAAGGGAGTGGGGAGCCGGGGTGTGGTACAACGGGGGAGAAACAAATACGATCAGGAGTACCCTCAATTACCACCCACGCAATCACAAAGAAAGGAACAACAGGTACAGGAAACTCCTACACCACAAAAAGAGACGTGGACAAAAGTAGTGGGTAGGAGAGAGAGGAAGAAGGAGAAAGAAACACAGAAAATGCAGGAGATAAAAAGGGTGGTGAACATCGAAAGAAAGGAGGGGAAGAAGAACAGGAGGAGAGTCCCAAACACGGCGGCGGTAACCATTACCGCCGAACGGGGACAATACAAGGATCTATTGGCGGAGGCCAAAAGAAAGATCGATCTCACCGGGATTGGAATAGAAAAAATAAAGACCAGAGTGGGGGCCACAGGAGCTTTGGTAATAGAAATACCTGGGGAACAAAGGGGCAAGCCGGCGGATCAACTCGCCGACAAACTCAAGGACGTACTTACCGACAGAGCAAAAATAAGTAGACCGCAAAAAATGGGAGAGCTGCGAATAAAGGGCATGGAGATATCCACCACGGAGAGTGAAGTGGCAGAGGCAGTAGCCAAAGTAGGAGGATGCCAGGTAGGAGAAGTGAAGACGGGAAAAATGAGAGTGGCCTGGAACAGTTACCGGACGTTGTGGGTACAATGCCTCCTCGTGGCAGCGAAGAAGGTTGCTGAGGAGGGCAACATTATAATAGGATGGGCGCTAGCTAAAGTGGAGCTACTGCAGGCGAGAGCAATGCAGTGCTTCAGATGCTTAGAGAAAGGACATGTGCAGGTTAATTGTAAAAATAACAACGATAGGCGAGCAAACTGCTACAGATGTGGAGAACCCGGACACCTGGCTCGGGACTGTAGTTCAAAAGCCAGGTGTCAAATCTGCGCAGAGGTGGGCGTCCAGTCGGACCGTAGAATGGGGGGGCCATCCTGCCGTCCCCCCAAGAGAAAGAAGAAAATCCCTGGGGATGCGGTGGAAGGGGGTATGGCGACCGCACCGCCGCCACGAGACCCTCCCGCATCCTCAGAGGAGAGAAGAAAAGGAACCGAGGAAGGAAAGGAGGCGGAGGAGGGAGTAAACCAGGAGCCGGAACCCCAACCCCCGCTTCCTCAAAGGAGGAGAAGAGCCTCCCTACCTCTTCCACCCCCCCCTCAGAACCCCATTGATGAGGGGGAGATGGAGGTGGAGGAGAAGAGAGGTGAGAAAAGAGCGAGAGCAATGGAAAGTGAGGACACTGACGGCGAACAGCCGGGCGAGAAAGTGGTGGTCATAACAGAACATGATGGACACTAGACTACTCCAAGGGAACCTGCACCGCGCCCGTCAAGCGCTCCCCTTGTTCGAGCACACGATGACGGAGCGCGGTGCAGGCTTAGGCATAGCGGCAGAGCCCCATCATGTCCCCAGGAACCATAGATGGTTCGGGGACGATGGGGGCTCTGTCGCTATAGTCTGGAAGGCGAGTAATAACTCACCCCCCGCGAAATACGTGGATCGCGGGAGGGGGTTTGTTGTGGTCAGGTGGGGAGCCATCACCGTGGTCGGGGTATACCTCCCCCCAGAAAAGAGCCTGGGCTTGGTGGAGTACAAGTCCAGGCTCCAAGAAATGGGAGATGTCATTAAAAGACATCTCCCGGGTCCTGTCATCGTCGCCGGCGATTTCAACGCCAAGTCGGAGCTATGGGGCTCCCGGCGCGATGACAGGAGGGGGGAGGTAACAGCGGACTGGGCCGTAGGCCTAGGTCTGCACATTATGAATGACGGCAAAAAATCTACGTTCGTCGGGTCGAGGGGGGAGTCTATTATCGACTTGTCTTGGGCGACCCCCTCGGCCCTGCGAAGGGTGCTGACCTGGAGGGTGGCGGAGGAGCTAGAATCATTGTCTGAACATCTCTTAATAGAGATGGAGCTCTCCGTCACCCCCGATGGCCTACGGCCCCGCAATACGGACGGACCCCGGCCCGGTAGATGGGCTCTGGCCCAGTTAAGCAGGGAGGATCTTGAGATCTCCCTCACGGGCTCCACCTGGCCACAGTGGAAGGACGGGCAGGACCTTGACTCTGAGGTCATGGAGGTTATGCAAGTGCTCGCACTCGCGTGCGATGCTTCCATGCCCAGAGTCAGGGCCTGCCCAAAACGATGCGCCTGGTGGTGGACTGACCAAATTGCCGCGTTGCGGCGGATGTCGGTCCACTTCAGGCGCGTGTTCCGAGCAGTGCGTTGGGACGCGGACCCTGAGGTCACTCTGGTCGCCCGGCGGGAGTTCTGCGCAGCCGCGAAAGAACTCCGGAACGCCATAGGGGTTGCCAGAGGAAAGGAGTGGGACGACCACTTCCTCTCGTTGGACGCGGATCCGTGGGGGCGCCCATACAGGATGGTCATGCAAAAGCTGAGACCATGGGCGCCCCCTCTGACGGAGACGCTCGACTCCCGGTTCCTGGGACGGGTGATGGGGACCCTATTCCCGGTTGGGGGGACGACCCCATCATCCCGTATGTAACCCCTTCCCCCGAACATCAGGGGGAGGTTCCGGGAGTCACCGAGGAGGAGGTGGCCGAGGCTACCAGGCGGATCAAGAGCAGGAAAGCTCCAGGACCCGATGGTATCCCCGGCCGTGTCCTCACCCTGGCCTCAGGGTACACGAGCGCTAGGTTCGCGCACCTATTCACTAGGGCGCTAAGGGAGCGGAAATTCCCCCCAGTCTGGGAGAGGACCTACGTGGTCCTCCTCCGAAAAGAGGGTAAACCGGAGGATTCCCCCTCCGCGTACCGGCCCATATGCCTCCTGGATGAGGCGGGCAAGCTCTTCGAGCGCATAATAGCGGCCCGCCTCAAGAGGCATATGTCCTGGGAGGGTCCTGATTTAGGCGACGGCCAATATGGCTTCCGAGAGGGCAGATCAACTGTGGATGCAGTGTTGCATCTAAAGTCCCTCTCGGGGGCCATAGTGTCGGAGGGCAGGGTGGCAGTCGCGGTATCCTTGGATATCGCGAATGCATTTAACACCCTGCCCTGGGGTAGGGTGGTGCAAGCGATGAGGGGTTATTTCCGCTTCCCACCCTACCTCACGGCCGTCATAGAGGACTACTTCCGGGGTCGGCGTCTTACGTGGACGGACGCCGATGGCACGGTAAGAGAGAGGGGGATGAGTCGTGGGGTCCCACAGGGGTCTGTGTTGGGGTCCCTGCTTTGGAACATTGGGTACGACTCAGTCCTCCGGACCGCCCTCCCCCCAGGCTGTAGCACGTTGTGTTACGCGGACGACACGCTCGTCCTGGCCGGGGGGAGAGACTGGGGGGAGGCCGTTCACACGGCAAACTTAGCGGTGGCGGCGGTTGTGCGCTCCATCCGCAACTTGGGCCTAGTGGTGGCGGAAAGGAAGTCGGAGGCGATTTTCCTCCACGCAAAGGGCATGAAGCCACTCCAGGCCCATATCAGGATAGGCCAAGTCAGGGTCCCCATAGAGGCCCAGATGAAGTATCTGGGCCTCACCCTGGACGGCACCTGGTGCTTCAGAGAACATCTTAACAGGCTGGTCCCCCGACTCAGGATGATCTCCATCAACCTGGGCAGGTTAGTGCCCAATGTCGGGGGACCAGACATGAAGGCACGTCGCCTCCACGCAGGAGTCCTCAATTCGGTGGCCATGTACGGAGCACGGGTGTGGGCCGAGTCGCTGGCCGCCAGTCGCCTGATGCAAGCGCGATTGCGCAGAGTGCAAAGGGGGCTGGCGGTCCGGGTAGCGAGGTGCTACCGTACCGTCTCCTGCGTGGCGGCGACAGTCCTGGCGACCATGCCCCCTATGGAGCTCGTGGCCCTGTCGTACAAACGCATAGGAAGGACGCACGTACGACGAAGGAACGCACGTACGACAGGAAGCGCGAGCTCCTAAGAGCAGGGGGCGGACGTACCACTCGCCAGGGCAATCCGGGAGATTAAGCACAGGACACACGATCTCCTCGGAAAGATGGCAGAGGTTCTGGCCAATGCCAGGTACGGGGGAGGACCGTCGAGGCCGTCCGGCCTTCCTACTCGAGTGGGTGGGAAGGGTCCCTGGGGCCCTGACTTTCAGGGCGGCGCAGGTGCTCACCAGGCATGGTTGCTTCGGTGAGTACCTGTGCCGCATAGGAAAGGAGCGCACAGCCGCCTGCCAACACTGGGGCATGGCCACGACTCCGCGGCAGCACACGCTCCAGGAGTGCCCGGCCTGGAGCAACGAGCGCGAGTCGTGGAGAGAGAGTTAGGTCGGAGTTTCGGCTCCAGTATAGTCCGGGCGATACTGGGGAGTGAAAAGAAGTGGGAGCTTTCACCTCCTTCTGTGAGGGGGTGATGAGGCGGAAGGAGGAGGGCTGAGGAGAAGGAGGAGCAGAGGCAGAGGAAGGCGGAAAAGACGGAGGGACCGCCACCGTCAGTGGAGGGGAGGGAGGAGCAGGAGCAGGAGGGGGACGCAGACTCCTCGGAGGAGGAGGAACTTCGGAGGTTAGGGGNTTCGCGCTGATTTATATATTCTAAAGTTAATCGCATCTCGCTAATAATTAATCATGTGTATATATGTGTATATATAGTTATGTATTAATAAAATCTTAATCCTGTTTCTCATTACAGGTCACCGTTAAATGCGAGATATCTCATCCTCGTGGAATGAGCTTCCCAGGTACGTAAAAATAAAATTAATCTTTACTTATGATAATCCTTTTCTCTCCGTTCTAGTTTTCCACGGACTTTTCACAACTAATGATCTTTGATTCTCTATTTCAGGTTGCCGCGTGTCACCACCGGTGCCCTCCACCTCGGACTTGCCTTTTCTGCGATCATCCGGCTGGAGCGCGCTCTACATAGGTTCCGTCGAACCACTGGGGCGTAAGTGACTACTAGATAATCTCCCGGCTTGTTTTCATTACCGGCATTATGCCTTCTGGCTCGAATCACATCTTTTCTACTTTGTTAAAAAATTAATGAGTAAAATTAAAAATTATAAAATCTCTCTATCGTAGTAGAAAGTCTTTAGAAAAACGCAAAACATCTATTAACGTTAATTGCAATTAACTTTGGGCAGTATTATCCATTACGTCACAGACCTCGGATCTCTTAAGACTGTTTTACAATACTAATATCGCAGTTCATCATGCTTAGAACTAACGACTACTTTCGTCATGGATTGCCGCGTGACTCGAATATCTGTTGCGCCTCTAAAATAAATTAACCTTTCTTTATGATATCATAGTGTATATTAAGCCTGGATCCTGATCGACAGGACCTACGCGATCCTTCTCGATTATCTTCAAATCAAATAAAATATTTACTTAATTACTGAAGTTACCTAATCTGTCTTAAGCAACGCGGCTGGGTAATCGAATAAAGTATATAATCGTATAAAAATATAAAGTATATAATCGTATAAAAATATCTCTCGTCTCATAATCTCTTTCTTAAGCTGTATCGCACTAAACTCTAGTAACTAAAAAGACTAACCGGTCGCTTGATTTTATCTCGAGTCTCTCGCTCTCTCAAGCATTACTCCCCTGTCTCATCGACCTACTCAGGAGTGCTGCTTGAGAGCTGCTTGGTACTTAAGATTACGCCGATGTGGTTTGGCTTACTTGGATATCTCGAGCTCATCCGCATGGCCCTCGAAGGCAGCCAGCTGGTCCTCGAGTGGGTCACTCTGGATTTGGTTCCTCCTCCTGCTTGACCCGAATCTCAGGCATAGCGTCCTCCTCGCTGATATAAATGACCATCGGTCCTGCGTACTCCTCGAGGCTCTGGTTAGGTCCTCGAGTAGTTCTCATCCGGTCAGGTGGGCTCCGGTTAGGCTCCTCGAGGTTCGGTCGGCGATCGGAAGTTTGTGACCGTTTTATCGGAATATGAAAAAGAATTAATGTTTTCTAGAACCGGACCTCTTATGTCTTTTCCCTTGAGAACCTGACCGGTTTCTCCCCTTCCTGCTTTGTCGCCTATCCATCCTTAATTCGATTAGAACCCAACCATATATAAAATTACCATCAATGGCGGGCAAAGGACCATACTCAAATTATTAGTTATGGTAAATCGAATCTCTGTCACTATGTCCGTCGCCACCCTATCTTTGGCCCGGGGAATAGGGAAACCCCCTTTACCACTTCACCATCTATGGACTAGTATGGTGATGGTCCGAATTTCACTTATGGTGAAAATCCGTACTTGTTATTTGTCAATTTATCGTATAGGCTACGCCACAATACGATTCCTACGCTTCAACTGGTTAGGCTATATACCTTTCCTCTAACCATATCTGGTGCTTGCGTGCCTTATTCAAAATGTACGTTATGGTCGTTTCCTGACCATCTATCAAAAAACTACGTATGGCTTCCCCCGGCCATAATTCGAAATCACCCGAAGGTCTCAATTTAAACTTTTCTTTGTGATTAATTATTTTTACTTCGTTGTAAGTCCGGTCACTGGACGGTTCGTCATGAATTTCAAGGTAAGTAAGTGATTATACTTATGCTTCTTATATCAAAATAATGAATAATTAACATATATTCAAAACTCTCAAATTACAGTAAAATAACAAATCTTGCTTGTACTCACACGCGTATCGCTCGTGTCCATTAATATCTACGTGCCCTTATAGCTACGTATAGTAATTAAAATAACTTACTTTATTGCTGCGCAATTCGCCTCATACATAATCCTTTGTTCCAGTCTGGGAACGTCCTTTTCGGTTATCACTTAATTTATTATATACGGAAATCTTTCCGAAAATCCGTTATATTTTATTTGTTAATCGTAAATAATAATAACCGTTGTTTATCGGTTTAATACTCTTTATCCGCGCTCGCGCCTTAGAATTCTACTAACGCGTACCTCAGTATTATCTTCGCGGCATAAACAAAATAGGAATAAATCCGTTAAAATGTCTCACTTTTTCGAGATAATCAAATAAATAAACCACTTATTTAACGACGAGGGTTAACAACCGCCGGGATCCGTCCTCTTTCACGCACACGAAACTCTTCATTCCCGAGAGTCGCAACGGCAACGTCCGATCAAGTCAAGCGTCAAGAACAGAATCTCTCTTTTGAAATAATCAAATAAATAAACCGCTTATTTAACGACGAGGGTTAACAACCGCCGGGATCCGTCCTCTATCACGCGCACGAGCTCTATTGTTCCGGAGAGTCGCGACAGCACGTCCGACTAGCCTCCCCGTGGGTGCCACCTTGACGTGGTGAGGAGGCTTGAAGGTCCCGATGATGTACAGAGCTGTACCGGCGGGGGTTTCGGCCCCTGGCAGTTTCTACCATGCCGGAGTGGTCTGTACGGAGGGACTGGACCAAGAGCACCCGACCGGGCTGAGTGACCAGCCTGGTCCATGACCAGCATGGTCACAGAGCGGGTGCGAGGAGATCATCATCCCTGAAGGCATTGCACGCCGGTGCTCCGGCAGCCGACAGGGATGACACTCGCTCCAGGAAGGGGACCTCTCTCTCCGAGGCATTGCACGCCGGTGTTCCGGCAGCCGAAGAGAGAGAACCCTTTCCTCCCGCCTCGGTTGGACCGTTACGGTTAGACCGGGGCGGAGGGACGTACCCGCATCCAGGGCTCCACCCCATGGGGATCCTCCTCCCCCGTGGTGCCTGAGGTGCGGAGGGGTACTCCGGGCCGCTCGGACGTTTCCGAGGTCGGGGTCGGAGTACCCTACCGCGTCCTGAGAGATCCCACCCTCCGAGGCATTGCACGCCGGTGCTCCGGCAGCCGAAGAGGGGAGGACCTCTCTCCCTCGCTCGTCCCAGCCACGGCTGGGCGAATGAAGGATCCCACACCCGGGTCTGCACACCGTGGGACTATTCCCACGGTACCTGGGGGGTGGAGGGGATGTCCCGGGCCGCTCGGACTTATTCCGAGGTCGGGGTCGGGGCACCCTAGGGTGACGAGGGGAGAGGACCCCGCCTTCGTCTCGAAGGTGGACTCCCCGACTTCCCTCACCCGTTCGGCCCCGGTCAAACGGACAGAGGAACCCACACCCGGGTCTGCACACCACGGGGCTTGCCCCATGGTACCCGGGGGGTGGAGGGGTGTCTCGGGCCGCTCGGACGTATTCCGAGGTCGGGGTCGAGACACCCTCATGCGCCAACCAGAGGACTCATTCCCGGAGGCATTGCACGCTGGTACTCCGGCAGCCAAAGGGAACGATCCTCTCCCTCATCCGTCCTGGCCACGGCCAGGCGGAGAGAGGTACCCTCACCCGGGTCTGCACACCGTGAGGGTTTGGAACCCCTCACGGTACCCGGGGGGTGGAGGGGTGCTCCGGGCCGCTCGGACGTATTCCGAGGCGGGGCCGGAGCCCCTGTGTGTTGTGCCCGAGGGAATGCGATCGCATCACCCTAAAGCGGACCCTCGGGCGGCGCGAGCACGCTAGCTGCCATGGGGGAGACGTTCCCGGTGGGGTGCGACACCGGTGAACTATCTCCTTCCATGGGGCCCCCCGCGTGGCGGCGCTCTGCACGGTGCCCACATTGTCGGAGGTGTGGGACCCCCGAAAGCGGTCTGGCCACCAGAAATGGTGGTCAGGGCGCGTGTAGGGGGCGGGAGGCCTGTGCCGACGATGTAATATTCCGTCGGCCCGTGCCATATGGTGCTCCTCCGAGGGAACTCGGAGGCTCCCCCTTTCCGGGGGGATGCGGGCATGCCCGGGCACCGGAGCCGTGCAGGGTGATGGGTTTGAAACCACAATGACTGATTTAACCTCTTCAAATATTGACTCATCGGATTCGGAATTGAATATGACGACCCAGGCTAGTACACAGGACACGAGAAACCGAGCTGGCAAAAGCCAGGTTACGGTAAGGTTGGAGGGGCTTAGGAGTGGGAAGGCCCAAAAGGCAATGAAGGCGGAAGAGATCTGCGACAGCGACAGATCTAGATCTAGATCGCCTATCAGAGTCGATGAGTCGACGCCGTTTACCACCTCAAGGGAAGAGGACTCTGATGACGGCAAAAAAGTCATCAAGAATAGAGAAGGGAAGTGGGATATCCCTAGGAACGAAGACGGAAATATGGACGAGGAGCGTCTCGTTGAGAAGGCCACCAGAGGCAGGGGCAGGCCAGAGACGACAGGGGGATATCGCCTCAAGAAAGAGTTCATGGCAAGAAAGCAGGCCATTGTAGAACAAAAAAGGGAAGAATTTCTGCTTAAAGGCATGGAAAATCCAATGGAGGAGTTTCAGGATTGCACCTCCAATAGAAAATACAAAGCAGAGATTAAAAGAATAACAGAACATCTAGAGGAGGCCCCCTTCAGAGACATAACGGCGTCTATTTTGGAAGCATCTACCAAGGTTCTGGGATTCTCACAAAAATGTAAGAGCCTCAAAGGTACGCACGTGAAGGTACTCAGGGACGCTGCGGCGGCGATAACGGCAGGAACAAATGTCATGGCCATGTAAATGGCACAGGACAGATGCGGAAACAACTTGGACCTGATAGAGGAACTGAGAACAGAGAATATGAATTTGAAAACATCGCTGAGGGAAGTAAGGAAGGAACTGGAGGAAGTAAAGGCAATGCTTCGGGGTATAAGGGAGGCACCGCTGCATGCAGCAGTGGTATCCTCCCCGCCCCCGAAACAACCGGGAAATGCGGGTCAGAGTATAAAGGAGGCACCGCAACAAATGGCGGGTGCTTCCTCGCCCCGCATAGAAGGGAAAGAAAGGGCGATCACCCCACCTATGGTGGACATGGTGGAGGAGGAGGAAGTCCCGATTGGAATAATAGAGATCCAAAAGGGACTGATTCCAGCGGATAAGAGACGCCCGGTGAGGGAAGCCAGGGTCGCAAAAACAGGAGAAGCAGGTCCCAAGATCAGGAAAAATGTCCCCCTGATTACCAAAGTTAGGGTGGAAAGGAGGGAGGAACCAGTAAAAGGAGAAAAGAAGGGACTGGGAGAGGAAGTGTCGAGGATGGTGTTCCAAGCCCTGAACGAATGGAAATCACAGGAAACTCCCAAACAAGGGGCCTGGAGAAACAAAGGAAACAAAGGAAAAGGAGAGGTAAAAGAAATGGGGGATCAAGGAAGGGCTCGATACGGAGGAAACAATTACGTGAAAGAGTACCCTCAACTTCCACCCACAAGACTACAAAGAAAGGAACAACAAGCACAACATGGCAGGGAGGAGGCACCTACATCACAAGAAATGTGGACGAAAGTGGTGGGCAGAAGAGAAAAGAAGAGGGAGAAAGAAGAGCAAAAGAGGAAAGAAATAATAAAAAAGGTAGTAATCCCTGAAAAGAAAGAAGGGAAAAAGAACAAGAGAAGAGTCCCCAACACGGCGGCGGTGACAATCACCGCCGAAAAGGGACAATATAAGGACCTGCTAGCAGAAGCAAAGAGGAGGATAGACTTAACTGGAATGGATATCGAGAAAATAAAGACTAGAGTAGGGGCCACAGGAGCGCTTGTGCTTGAGATACGCGAAGAAGAAGAAAGGCGAAGAAAGGAGTAAGCAGGCGGACCTATTGGCGGACAGTTTTAAGGAGGTCCTGACTGACAGGGCAAGAGTAAGTAGGCCGCAGAAAATGGGGGAACTGAGACTCAAAGGGCTGGAGATATCCACCTCGGAGAGCGAAGCGGCGGAGGCAGTGGCCAAGGTAGGGGGATGTCAGGTAGGAGAGGTGAAGACCGGGAGTATAAGAGTAGCCTGGAATAACTACAGGACATTATGGGTGCAGTGCCCCCTCGCGGCGGCCAAGAAAATCGCAGAAACAGGCAACATCAAAATTGGGTGGACGCAGACAAAAGTAGAGCTACTGCAAGCAAGGGCTCTGCAATGCTACAAATGCCTAGAAAGAGGACATGTGCAAACCAACTGCAAAAGTAGCATGGATAGGCGAGCAAACTGCTATAGATGCGGAGAACCCGGACACCTGGCTCGGGATTGTGTCGCTAGAGTCAGGTGCCAAATCTGCGAAGAGGCTGGCGTCCAGTCGGGACATAGAATGGGGGGGCCATCTTGTCGCCCCCCCAAGAGAAAGAAGAGAATCCCTGGGGATGCGGTGGAAGGGGGTATGGCGACCGCACCGCCGCCACGAGACCCTCCTGCATCCCCAGAGGAGAGGAGGAGAGAGACCGAGGAAGGAAAGGAGGCGGAGGGGGGGGTAAACCGAGAGCCGGAACCCCAACCCCCGCTTCCTCAAAGGAGGAGAAGAGCCTCCCTACCTCTTCCACTCCCCCCACAGATACCCATTGATGATGGGAAGATGGAGGTGGAGGGGAAGAGAGGAGAGAAACGAGCAAGAGAAAATGAGGACACCGACGGCGAACAGCCGGGCGAGAAGGTGGTAGTCATAACCGACAATGGACACTAGACTACTCCAAGGGAACCTGCACCGCGCCCGTCAAGCGCTCCCTTTGTTCGAGCACACGATGACGGAGCGCGGTGCAGGTTTAGGTATAGCGGCAGAGCCCCATCACGTCCCCAGGAACCATAGATGGTTCGGGGACGAGGTGGGCTCTATCGCTATAGTCTGGAAGGCGAGTAACAACTCACCCCCCGCGAAATACGTGGATCGCGGTAGGGGTTTCGTTGTGGCCAGGTGGGGAGTCATCACCGTGGTCGGGGTATACCTCCCCCCAGAAAAGAGCCTGGGCTTGGTTGAATACAAGTCCAGGCTCCAAGAAATGGGAGATGTCATCAAGAGACATCTCCCAGGTCCTGTCATCGTCGCCGGCGATTTCAACGCCAAGTCGGGGCTATGGGGCTCCCGGCGCGATGACAGGAGGGGGGAGGTAACAGCGGATTGGGCCGTGGGCCTAGGTCTGCACATTATGAATGACGGCAAAAAATCTACGTTCGTGGGGTCGAGGGGGGAGTCTATTATCGACTTGTCTTGGGCGACCCCCTCGGCCCTGCGAAGGGTGCGGACCTGGAGGGTGGCGGAGGAGCTGGAATCACTGTCTGACCATCTCATAATAGAGATGGAGCTCTCCGTCACCCCCGATGGCCTACGGCCCCGCAATACGGACGGACCCCGGCCCGGTAGATGGGCTCTAGCCCAGTTAAACAGGGAGGACTTGGAAATCTCCCTGATGGGCTCCACCTGGCCACAGTGGAAGGACGGGCAGGACCTTGACTCTGAGGTCATGGAGGTTATGCAGGTTCTCGCACTCGCGTGCGATGCCTCCATGCCCAGAGTCAGGGCCTGCCCAAAACGATGCGCCTGGTGGTGGACCGACGAAATTGCCGCGTTGCGGCGAAGGTCGGTCCACCTCAGGCGTGCGTTCCGAGCAGTGCGCTGGGACGCGGACCCTGAGGTCACTCTGGTCGTCCGGCGGGAGTTCTGCGCAGCAGCGAAAGAACTCCGGAACGCCATAGGGGTGGCCAGAGGAAAGGGGTGGGACGACCTCCTCCTCTCGTTCGACGCGGATCCGTGGGGGCGCCCATACAGGATGGTAATGCAGAAGCTGAGACCATGGGCTCCCCCTTTGACGGAGACGCTTGACTCCCGGTTCCTAGGACGGGTGATGGGGACCCTATTCCCGGTTGGGGGGGACGACCCCATCACCCCGTACGTAACCCCATCCCCCGAACATCAGGGGGAGGTTCCGGGAGTCACCGAGGAAGAGGTGGCCGAGGCTACCAGGCGGGTCAAGAGCAGGAAAGCTCCAGGACCCGATGGTATCCCCGGCCGTGTCCTCACCCTGGCCTCAGGGTACATGAATGCTAGGTTCGTGCACCTCTTTACGAGGGCGCTAAGGGAGCGGAAATTCCCCCCAGTCTGGGGGAGGGCCAATGTGGTCCTCCTCCGAAAAGAGGGCAAGCCGGAGGACTCCCCCTCCGCGTCCCGGCCCATATGCCTCCTGGATGAGGCGGGCAAGCTCTTTGAGCGTATAATAGCGGCTCGCCTCAAGAGGCATATGTCCCGGGAGGGTCCTGACTTAGGTGACGGCCAATATGGCTTCCGAGAGGGCAGATCAACTATAGATGCGGTACTGCATCTGATGTCCCTCTCGGAGGCGATAATGTCGGAGGGCAGGGTGGCAGTCGCGATATCATTAGATATCGCGAATGCGTTTAACACCCTGCCCTGGGGTAGGATGATGCAAGCGATGAGAGGTTATTTCCGCTTCCTACCCTACCTCACGGCCGTCATAGAGGACTACTTCCGGGGTCGGCGTCTCATGTGGACGGACGCCGATGGCACGGTGCGAGAGAGGGGGATGAGTCGTGGGGTCCCACAGGGGTCTGTGTTGGGGCCCCTGCTTTGGAACATTGGGTACGACTCAGTCCTCCGGACAGCCCTCCCCCCCGGCTGTAGCACGTTGTGCTACGCAGACGACACGCTCGTCCTGGCCGCGGGGAGAGACTGGGGGGAAGCCGTTCACACCGCGAACCTAGCGGTGGCGGCGGTTGTGCGCTCCATCCGCAACCTGGGCCTGGTGGTGGCGGAAAGGAAGACCGAGGCGATCTTCCTACACGCCAAGGGCATGAAGCCACCCCAGGCCCATGTCAGGATAGGCCAAGTCAGGGTCCCCATAGAGGTCCAGATGAAGTATCTGGGCCTCACCCTGGACGGCACCTGGTGCTTCAGAGAACATCTCAACAGACTGGTCCCCCGACTCAGGATGATTTCCATCAACCTGGGCAGGTTAATGCCCAATGTCGGAGGACCAGACATGAAGGCACGTCGCCTCCACGCAGGAGTCCTCAACTCGGTGGCCATGTACGGAGCACCGGTATGGGCCGAATCGCTGGCCGCCAGTCGCCCGATGCAAGCGCGATTGCGCAGAGTGCAAAGGGGGCTGGCGGTCCGGGTAGCGAGGTGCTACCGTACCGTCTCCTGCGTGGCGGCGACAGTCCTGGCAAGCATGCCCCCTATGGAGCTCGTGGTCCTGTCGTACAAACGCATGTACGACAGGAAGCGCGAGCTCCTAAGAGAAGGGGGGCGGACGTACTGCTCGCCAGGGCAATCCGGGAGATGAAGCACCAGACTCGACGGATCCTCCTCGAAAGATGGCAGAGGTATCTGGCCAATGCCAGGTACGGCAGGAGGACCGTCGAGGCTGTCCGGCCCTTCCTACTCGAGTGGGTGGGAAGGGCCCATGGGGCCCTAACTTTCAGGGCGGCGCAGGTGCTCACCGGGCATGGCTGCTTCGGTGAGTACCTGTGCCGCATAGGAAAGGAGCGCACAGCCGCCAGCCACCATTGCGGACATGGCCACGACTCCGCGCAGCACACGCTCCAGGAATGCCCGGCCTGGAGCAACGAGCGCGGAGTCGTGGAGAGGAAGTTAGGTTGCGACCTTTCGCTCCCCAGTATAATCCGGGCGGTACTGGGGAGCGAAAAGAGGTGGGAAGCCTTCACCTCCTTCTGTGAGGAGGTGATGGAGAAGAAGGAGCAGGCCGAGGAGGAGAGAAGGAGAGCGGAAGGGAGAGGCATGCGCAAGAGACGGAGGGACCGCCACCGTCAGTGGAGGGGAGGGAGGAGCAGTAGCAGGGAGGGGGACGGAGACTCCTCGGAGGAGGAGGAATTGAGGAGGCTGGGGGCTCAGCCACCACCGCCTCCTCCCCCTCACCCCCTGCTCCCCCTCCAATAAGGAGAAGAGCGAGAGGAAGGAGAACGTTGAGAGGGCAGCTGGGAGCCCTCATAAGAGACAGAGGGGAGGCGGTGATGGTGCTGCGTAGGCTCGCCCCACTAATGGCGGCGGCAGCAACGCTGACCACCCCTGTAGTTGGGGTGGACGTGGCACTACCGCCGCCGCCACCCCCCGCTGCACTACCAATGGCAGCGGCGGGTGAAGGGAGCGGGTGGGGGTCGAGGCTCAGGCCCAGGCCCCACGCCTGCAGACCACCGACACCCTCGAAGAAGGGTGTCGGATGACAATAAGGGGGGGAGAGGGCATCGATGGTAGCGAACCATCGGAATAAATGCCCCTCCTCCCCTCAATTGTAGGTCCGATAAACAAATCGGACATGCGGGAGGGGGGTCATTAGGACCCCCGCCCCATTCCTCCGCGGAGGTGGGGAGAGCCCGGCGGCTAGGGGAGTACATCTCCCCGCAACCGCCGGGCGGGAGGGCGGGGCACCGGGCGGGGACTCCCGGTGCCCCAACCAGCCCTCCCAAGGTAGGGTGGCTGGCTGATACGGTGGGTCAGTCAGCCACACAACGTGTACTGGCGGCGCCTCGTCTGGTCGGGAACGGTGGTGAAGCGGGCCTCGGCCGGCTTCCCCCTTCCCGCCGGAAGAGACGAGGCGTGAGGGGCGGGAAAGGGGAACGGTGGTCGAAGCGGGCCCTCGGGCCGGCTTCCCCCTTCCCCTGGGGGAGCGGTGGTCGAAGCGGACGCTCGGGTCGGCTTCCCCCCTCCCCCGCCCCGCCCCTCAGGAACAGAAGGTGCAAACCTGGACTCGGGGCCCCGATTAGCAGTTACGCGGCACCGGGGCCCCGACCCAAGTCCCTTCGCAGCGCCACCCGGGGAGGTTTTAGCCGGTAGGAGTCTGGAATAACCCTGGCCTCCTTCCCCGAGGGTCAGGGTATCCATGATGGATTTCCTCCTCGTCAAAAAAAAAAAAAAAAAAGCACGTCCGACTAGGTCGGGCGCCAGGATCAGAATCTCTCGAATCCTCTAACTAACTCGACCCCCTGCCTTTCACTTCCTCTGCTTACCGCTCACCCCCTCGTCTATACTTCTTTGTCCGCGACTTCCCCCACCTCGGACTTGTTTACGAGTTGGTAACCGCATCGGACAACGGTCGTAGTCCCGGGCGTAGCGGACTTTCGGAACTACTTCGTATAACTGCGTTCTTAGAACAAACAACTCGTACTATAGCAAATGGTATATTACGTGTAACTAAAATTTTCCACTGTCAATAATATTGTTAATACTTTTAACTAAATAATATTTATTATTATGACAATTCACCATAATACGTGAATTTCGACTTCCCATATTCAATCATAGATGGTGTTCCTTCTTCAGGAAATTCAAACTCTCTTCGCCATTCTATGATTTCTCTGATTAAGTGAGTTGTTTGCTCTATGATTTCTATATACTACTAAAACACGCCAAACGCTATATTTACATTTTAGGCGTTTATCAAACGTAATTCTAGGTTCTACCACGGCCTATCACCATGCTGTGTTTCACCTTAATAGGTGATTTATGGCGCTCAGCTATTTCTTCAGTATGGCTACCTATCCATAACCAATTTCTCAATTATGGTGTCACTTACATCAAACGAGCTATACGAGTATAATACTACGCTTGTGACCGTACTATGGTATTAACTATGTCAGCTTTTACCTATATTACCTTGTCCTATTATGGTGACTCTATATACTAATCTTTTCTTTTCTTTTCAGATTTCCACCTGTCAGGGACTTACTGGTAAGTATCTACTTAGTTACGATGACTATTTACTAATATTTTTCTTTTTCTTTTCAGGTTAGGATCTCCAAGATTGGACTCAGCAAGTTAGAATCTTCAAGGATGGACTCATCAAATTAGGATCTACCTATTTCTCCTTCGGGGTGCGTCACCTCGTCGTGGTGAAGGAGTTTTGGATTAGGTTGTAGCCGGACCAGAAGAATGTGCTTGAGCACGGTAGACGAAGAAGCAGGTCCTTTTCGTAGATTTGTCGGTCGCCACCCGTCCGTGGGTTGTACGCGTGGTGGCTTCCTCCCCGGTAAGGATGGGATTGCCGGAAAAAATCAACACTGGCACGTATATTGCGAGGAATTTTCCTTTTATTATAAAAGGTCCATCTAATACACTGGGCGTGGTCCGCTCGGTTGCGGCGTAATATATAACAAACGTGGAACTTTCTACGCGTTATTTAAACAAAAGTCGCGGAATATCTCTACGCGATTCTTCGGCGTGGCAGCCACGTCGCACCATCTCCATACGTCAGGGTTTTATCTCGGCACGTTACGCGGTACTACGCGTCGAGTGGAAGTTCGGAGGAGCGGTCACTACACGCGTCCGTCCGGGCCGGCTCGTCACTAACGACTTTTTAGCGCTTTCGCGCGCTTCGCCTCTTCGAGAGAGACCATTGGCTCTTTCTAGAGACGAAACTTACAATGAGACGTGTGCCCTGCCTCGTGAGTCTTCGTAGAGGGCGCTTTACCCTGCCGGTATTACCGACATTGCCGATCATTCGCTTAAATTTAACAAAAATACTTCTATTGATTTATAATCACTTAAGAATGATTTCCCGCAGTCGTAATATGAATTATGAAAATCTGTATATAAATATATATAGGTATAACAATATAAACTTAATCTAATACGCGTTAACTTCGCCGGATGCGATTCAAGACTAGTATAATATAATTAAATTTTATTCGAATGATTGTTTTTTCTGCAGGTCATCGCGATACTTTCCTGGATGCTGCGGATCATTGGTAAGTATAAAATAATATTTATATTTGTATTAATCGTAATTCTTTTTTGTTGCAGGTCTTCGTGGGAATTTGCCCGAAACTGCTAATCTCAAAACAACTGTTTTAAAACGATTTCCACATTTTGGAAAATCTTAAGTATCCCTTGAGTAGTACCTATTCGCATTCAGCGATACTCGAATACTGCTCGAGGGACAACTTTAGACGTCCTTGAGTCACTGGGAAATATCCCTTAAGTCACTATTCTTGGTCTATCAAGGAGTACTTGAGATTGTAACCGGACTGCGAGTCCTTCCTGGAGTCCGAGGGATGAAGAATGCAGGTTCAAAGGTCACAGTAAAATTCCTTTTATTGTTATGCCTTTACACACGAAAGTGTTTCGATTACAATGTGGATTATTTACGCATCGGCGGCGTCTATACGTTGCGGCGAGGGCACTTCCCGGTCACCGAATCGAACAACTACGCAGTAACGTCGCGCTGACGGAGCGGCTCTTCACGCGAGCGGATATCTCAACGGTCCAAGCTTGATTCTTATTCGGTAAGTGCTTGCGCGCCTTCCGGACTCTCATATCTCCTCTCTCTCTCTCTCTCTCTCTCTCTCTCTCTCTCCCTCTCTCTCTCTCTCTCCCTCCCTCTCTCTCTCTCTCTCCCTCCCTCTCTTTCTCTCTCTCCCTCCCTCCCTCTCTCTCTCTCTCTCTCTTTCTCTCTCTCTCCTATTCTCCCTTCTATCTCTCCAGTCGTGTGCTCTGCTCGCTTCTTCCGCGCTGACGCTTACCTGCGCGCGCATGCCTAGACGACGCCTTACAACTTAACATTACTCTCGTTGTTTAATGATTATAAAATAAAACATTCGCTTGTAAATCTCTTATAAATCAACAATATTTAGATATATATTAGGTGCGCAACTAAGTTCTCGCTGTTTTTTTGATGAAAATGCAACTTTATTGTGAAAAAATAGTTACAAATGAATCATTCAAAATATTGCCCATCGCTAGCGACAACTTTTTCCCATCTTTCTGGCAGAGCTCAAATACCGTCACGGTAGAAGTGTTCGTCTTTTGAGGCTATCCACGAATCAAGCCATTTTGAGATGTCTTCATATGAGCGGAACTACTGATTAGCTAGACCATGTGCTATCGAACGGAACAAGTAATAATCGGACGGCGCAATATCTGAGGAATATGGCGGGTGGGGTAGGACTTCCCATTTGAGCGTTTCTAAGTAGGTTTTAATGGGTTTGGCAACGTGAGGCCGAGCGTTGTCATGCTGTCGAATCACTTTTTCGTGCCTCTGCTCGTATTGTGGCCGCTTTTCGCGCAGTGCTCGGCTCAATCGCATCAATTGAGTTCGATACCGTTCCCCAGTGATGGTTTCGTTCGGTTTCAACAGCTCATAATAAATAACAGCGCCCTGATCCCACCAAATACACAGCAAAACCTTCGCAGCGTGAATATTCGGCCGAGCCGACGACGTAGAAGCATGACCGGGCAGTCCCCATGATTTTGTTCTCTTTGGGTTGCTGTAATGAATGCATTTTTCATCACCCGTAACGATGCGATGAAGAAAACCCTTCCTTTTTTGCCGCTGGAGCAGTTGTTCACAGGCGAAAAAACGACGCTCAACGTCTCTTGGCTTCAAATCATAAGGAACCCAAGTTCCTTGTTTTTGAATCATTCCCAACGCATGCAATCGCTTGGAAATGGCTTGGCGGGTAACTCCTAATGCTGAAGCAAGCTCTTTTTGCGTTTGGCACGGATCCTCATCGAGCAATGCCTCCAATTCAGCGTCTTCGAAGGTTTTTGGCCTTCCTTCACGCGAACGATCGTCAACATCGAAATCACCGTCTTTGAAGCGACGGAACCAATCACGGCACGTTGTTTCACTTAGAGTAACATCTCCGTAAACTTTTTGGAGTTCTCGATGCGCTTCAGCCGCCGTTTTCTTCGAATGAAAGAAGAAAAGCAACACTTCCCGCAAATGACGATTATTTGGCACAAAATCAGACATTTTCACACAACCAAAAGTATATGACGCAAAAACAAAATCACCAATGTGTCAAAGCGGTTTGTTTACCATATGTCTAAACTTGGTTCATGACGTTTTGGTTATGTCACAATCGACCAGCACTTACTACTGGAGCCATCTCTTGAAAAACAGCGGGAACTTAGTTGCGCACCTAATATATATACTTATATACTACTTAATACTAATATGTCTTTTCTCTTTCTTAGGTCACCGCGGGACATCGTGAGAACGTGATCATATAAGGTAAATACAACATAACTCGTACATTTCTACCATTAATCTTCTCTCTGTTCACAGGTCACCGTGGGACGTCGTGGGATGCAATCTACTAGGTAAGTATAAATAAAAGATACTAATTATGATTCCTCTTTCAGGTCGCTGGCGAATCTCGCGGTTAACGGCCCCTCGAGATCCTTCTTAGGTACGTTATCACAGGTAAGTATCCTTAAGATAAAGTATAATTAAAATAAGTAGACTAGGTTTCTATCACGTGATCGCCATGATCCCTGGTCTCGCAAAACCATCGGACATTACAAAATAAAAGATTCTATAAACTCCTAGTCACATGGTATAAAAAACAAACTAAAACAAACATTCTTATGTAACTGATCTTAAATCACCTCGGGAGGTCTCGGTCTTGATCTTCAGATTACCCGAGGTCACCGATTGCTCGAAATCACTATCAGCGTACCACTCTTGATCTCGGCCGAGATCACTCGTGATCACCGATGAATCGAGATCACTTTCGATGTACTACACGTAATCTCCCGAGGTCACTTAGGATGTCTTAAGTCCACTCAGGTTCGGTAAGCCATTTTAAAATCACTTGCTTGTCGTCATCGGTACCAGCTTCGGGGCATCCTGCGGCCTCGTCCTTCCGACCTGGCTCCTCTGGGTCAGGATCGTTGCCCTGCAGTTGACATCGTTCCTCGGAGGTCAGGATCTCGGTGTCAGGATGATCTCTCGAAGACATCTCGGGGTCAGGATAATCCCTTGAAGACACCTGGGGGTCAGGGTGATCCCTCGAAGACATCTCGGGGTCAGGATGATCCCTCGAAGACACCTCGCGGTCAGGATGACCCCTTGAGGACACCTGGGGTCAGGATGATCCTGGACGGATTCCTCGCGGTCAGGATGACCCCGGACTGACGTCTCCGGGTCAGAATGATCTCGAATAGGATCTGTTGGTCCTGATCCTCGCAGTTCTGATGCTTTGGTTGGTTTGATTGTAACCGGACTGCGAGTCCTTCCTCAAGTCCAGAGGGTGAAGAATGCATGTCGAGAGGTTCGAAAAGGATGGTGGCCACCCGTCCACTTTGTTTCTGCCACGGCGTAGGTGTCCGACGATGGACGAGGATCCCGGAACCAATGTTCTAACACCATGCGTTTCACAATAAGTCTTTATTCTCAAACTTTTACACTAAAGAGGCCCTATCCGCCGTTGGTTACTCGCCTATTCGCGTCGCGTCTACGGGGTTCAATGAGCACTCGCCGGCATGCGTCCTGCCGCTGTCGTTGCTCGAGCGAGACTTCTTTCGGATCGACGCTTTCGCATCTCCTCGACATCCTTCCATACACTTACGCTTGCGCGCTTCCACTCTGTCCCTCTCTTTCTCTCCTTCTCTGTCTCTCTCTCCTTCTCTCAGACGCGGGCCATTCACGCTCTTATTCCCTTCAACGCGGACGCTTCTGCTATCTCTGCGCGCGTAGGCGCAGACGGCGCTTATAACATAGTATAAACTCTTTGTACAATGACTTCTAAACAAAATATAAAATATTTTTATAAAATATCTTAACACTAACGCTATAAAAGGATATATATGAGCCGTTTATTTTGAAAGTGGCCTAAGTTCATTTATACTTAAATTGAGATATTTAAGGGTTTGTGTTTCAATGCAATTAAAAATATACGTACAGGATACTAATGAGTCATACTGCTTAAGTGTATCTAAGGGTGTTAAGTTTATAGTTCCTATTAAAATAATGGCAATTATTAAGTGAATAATATGCGTATTATTCACGTAATAATATTTTATTTCTTACCAAGAATGGAGTGAGGCCACTTTCAACATTAACAACC